GTTGCCAGACTAGGTTAGCACCGGTCAAGCCAGTGCTCAGATGCAGAGAGGACAGGGCGTCTGCTGCTATCTGCCTCCAGTGCTGGGTGCACACACCAGCAGCTGCTCTGTGCCTTCCAGACCTGAGTGCCTTTAACCCTCAGGAACACAGGGTCTGCAGTTACCACCTCTGCTCCTTCACCACTCCTCACGTTCCCTTGAAGTTTATCCTCAGGACAGGCAGTGCCCTGGAGCACACGTTCCACTTCACGCTTCCAGCTCCCTCTCAAGGAAAGACCACTCTCCTCAGAGGAGCCGTGCATCCTTGTCTCAGCTGCCTCGCAGCCTCGGGCTCTGGGGTCCAGGATCCCCAAGGTGACAGATGGCGGGGCAGCAGGCAGCGCCCAGAGCCAGCCAGCCCAGTCATGGCTAAGCGGTGACCTGTGCCTGCCTCTTCTAGTTCCCAACACCATCCTTGTACCTACCTCCTGCATCTGGATAGGGAAATTCAAAGAGAAATAGAAAAAGGACTCTAAAAATAAACGAGGGGTGGCAGGGGGCAAGCAAGGAGTAAACACCATGGCACCACTGCTCTGAACACAGGCAGGGCTGCGGGGTGGGGCTGGGCTCACGCTGCACAGCAGGGCAGGAACGCGGAGCCCAGGTACCCCAGCCTCTGCTCACAGCCTCAGTCGCACGCCTGTGCACCGTACCCTCACATGATGCTAAGCCAAAGCTGAGGCAACACGGGCGGGAGATGCAGTGACTGAACTGAGAAGCAGAGACTAACCTGAAGGGCTCTAACGCCAGCTGCGCTGCCTGTGTACCTGAGACTTGGCCAGCTGTGTAACCCTCTTCCCACATCTTGCAGGCTGGCCTGAGGGGATAATGCCCGGCCAAAGACAGCTCTGAATAAAGGCAACCTCTTCCTTCACTCCATCGGTGCGCACTGGGCCAGCACTCTGTCTTTCCGTCCTGTAGACTGCAAGCCGTTGCTGAATCACTCAGAGCAGGGATGGAGACCCTCCTGCCCTCCGCACCTGGCCCACATCCTGTCTGCCTAGTCTCCTGGTTCTTCCGGCCTTCACTGTCTTGGAGCAGATCCATGGTGCCACAGAGCCCAACCACTCACAGGGCCTCCTCTGCCCAATGACCCAGAAAGAGCTCGGCAGGGGGTACCATGCCTGCCAGAATGTTTCTTATGCTCTGTGACCAACGTGGCATCTGCTGCTTCCTGAAACCTCCACAGGTCAAACAGCTACTTTCTAAACTGAATCAATTGATGCAGCCATCCTTCCTTCTCATGCGGAGCAGACCTGACTTGCATCACCTGGGTTCAAGTCCCATCTCTGGGGCTGGGGAGATGGCTCAGTGGAATAAGTGCTTCTCTGGCGAGCGCAAGGGCCTGAGTTCAATTCCCAGTTCCACAAAAAAAAAAAAAAAAAAAAAAAAGTCCCATCTCTGCCACTTACTGCCGATGTGACTTTAGGTAATTTTTCCAACCAGTCTGAGCCTCGGGTTCTCCAGCTGTGAAAGGAGTACAGACCTCCCTCGGAGGGTTGGAGTGGAGTTTAACAAAGCAGTGAGTACCAAGCAGAGTGGTACCATGCATTCAACACACAGGCTGTCTTCTACCCAGTTACCTAGCACCCACAGCTCTGCGGATGAAGAGAGACTCCTCGCAGGTGCAGACACAGGTCAGCTCAGCTCTTGGACTGTCAGTCCAAAAGCAAAGTCTAGGATGCAAGCAATAACTCCACAATTATACACCTGGGGAGGTGCCGAGCCAGAGGTGGGAGAAGGGTGGAGGAGGGCTTTTGCTGGGGAAAACTCCACCAAGGCCAGAAATCTCAGCCGTGCCCACTGAGCTTGTGGAGAAGCAACCACGGGATGCACCAGAGCTCTGCATGGTGGAGGCACAGGGCAGAAGGGAAGGCGAGGTGCAGGTGAAGCAGCACACACGCAAGAGCTCCGGGAATACCGGGTAGAAAGGGTCTCCATGGTTACCCACAATGCACCCCAAACTGAACCAGAACACATGGCCCTGGCAGGGAGGCAGGAGACGAGGCCACTGCAGGCTTGCAGGACACAGAGGCAGGCCTCACTCTGTGTGCTGCTGGGCCGAACACCAGACCAAAGGCCACACCTTGTAAGGACATGAAAGGCAAATTGTAACCACGAGTTATAAATGCACTGTAGTGTCAGGGTGCCAAAAAGCAAAGTCACAGGAATTGCATGCTGCGGCAGAATAGACACAGAGCTGGCTATAATTTTGCTCACTTTTTGGAACTTGGAAATTGATTTAACTAATGATTTTTACCTGGGAGCATTATTGGTCCATTTGTTGAGTATGAAAGTTTGGTTTCAGGTGTTCTTTTGTTCCTGCTTTGGACGTCAGGGCTAAGCACCAAGCCCTCAGGTGCACCAGGCACGGGCTCTCCCTATGAATTACCAGCCCCTATTACTACAGATTTTTATTTTTAGCAACAACATATTTTGTTCCATGGTCACCTAGGACTATGAATTCAGGAACACAGGCAGGAGGATTTAATCCATTGAGACAGTTTGTGCTCTGGCCCTGAGGATGTTGAAACTTACCAGGGACTACTACAAGCTGGCATTTAGGGGCACAACCAGGCACCAGAGCTGTCCTGGGCCATTCTCCAGAGAGAGAAAGACTTTCCAGCCAGGACATCCTTGACCTTGAGAGATCAGATTTTTAGAAGCCGGCGCCAGAGGAGGGAGACGGCTGCAGGGGGCACACGTGGGGTCTCCATGCACCTTAGAGATCAGGGAGAGGGGCTGAGCGTGAGTGCTGGATCAGCTCCAAGGCTGACGAAGCAGCGCCCACAGCTGCCCAGGGAAGGGCACTGTTAGTGCCAGGAGCCCAGGTGATAGGCACGAATGTCCAGTGGCACAGCCCCAACCATCCGCCGGGGTAAGGAGGCAGACTGTGCTGCTCAGGAGGAGAACAGAGGGAGGCACGGGGGCCAGGAAAGCATCTTGGGAGGGCATCTGCAGGGCCCTGTGGAGAAAGCAGGAAGGGGGGTGGAAAGAAGGGGCAGGCTCAGGGCAGAGGAGGGCGATGACACTGACCCAGAAAGCTGCCTGGTAAATGTGCGTAACCACTCCCGGGCACACAGCCCACAGCAACACCACTGGGGAGCTGCCTTCATTATTCAGGAAGAGGAGCTTGCTTTATTAAATTCACGGTGTTTGCCAGCGGATGTTCCTGTTCCAGTCAGCTTTTCTCTGCTGGGCTAAAATATTCAACATATACAACTTACAGAAGAAAGGGTCACTTTGGCTCACAACTGCAGAGGGTTCAGTACACGGGAAGCTGGCTCCCAGGCAGAAACATCATGGCAGAAGGGTGTGGTGGAGAAAAGCTGCTCAACTCGCGGGAGCCAGGAGCACAGCAGGCTGGAAAGAGGTGGAGAAGAAGCAGCCAGTGACCTCCCAGACAAACCCAGAGGCATGCTTTGCTGATCCCTACGCATCTCTCCAGCCAATCAAGTTGATGACCAAGATTAAGCAACACACTTGGTATAAAATAAATATCCTACATAAAGGCATCAAGAACACAGAACACAGACGTAGAAATGCAGAGGCAATGTGAAGAGGAAGGAGGAAGGGCCAAAGGACAAATGACTAAAAGATATATAGAACTTCAGGACCTCAATGACACCTCTGACCTCTTCCCCTCCCATGCACCTCTGCCCTCCTTCTGTCCACCACCCTAGCTTTCTTGTAGCCACCACACACTTCAGCTCCAGCCTTCGCACCAGTGGACCCTTCCTGAATGCTGAGAATTTGACTTAACAATTTTTTCAATTTTTACAACAGTGCAAAAGTCTATGCATTCAGGGGCTGGTGAGATGGCTCAGTGGTCTAAAGCACCTACTTAGAACAAGCTTAGCAAAGTCCAGGGACCGCGGTTCAATCCCCCAGCACCACATGCCAGCTACCCTGCCCCCTGGTGGGCTAAGGTGACCACACACACACACACACACACAAAATAAACAAATAAATAAAATTTTTTAAAAAAGTCTATGCATCAAGTCAACACTGTACTTGGGATTCTGTGATTTTTATTTGTTGGTTTTGCTTTTGTTTTGCTTTTAAGTACTCAGGCAAGACCCCAAAGCCTCATGCACACTGGACAAATGTTCCAGTACTAAGCTACAGTCCCAGTCTTTTTCATTTTCCATTTTGAGACAGTCTCGTTAAGTTGCCCAGGCTCAGCTTGAACTTGTGATCCTCCCACCTCAGCCCCTGGAGTACCTGGAATTTTGAATTTTGATCCTGTCTCAAGCTAGCAAATTGCAAGACCACACTCTGCTGAGCTGCTGGGGCTCCCAGCCAGCCAGCCAACCCTTGGGGCAAATAACCAGTACTCAAGTACACCATGTGGCTCCATTGGCATGTTCACTAGGTTCAGTGTATCGAATGCATTTTTTTTCTTTTGTACCAGGAATTGCAGGCCCTCATGCTTGCCATGTAGGCACTGTGTGCTGGGCTACATCCCCAGCCCTCAAAAGCATTTTTGACCTATAATATTTTCAGCTTACAACTTTACTGGGTGTAGCCACAGCGTAATTGCAGAAGTGGCTAGAGTGCGGTCTCTGTGCCCAGAAGAGTCTCCCCATATGTGTCTCATTCTCCTTCAGCTTCAGCACGCCATTTCTGGGCCTTCTCCACCTTCTAACTCTGTCCCTGTCCCTGTACCCTTCATGCTTTATTTCTCTATACACCATTCGTCATCATCGGATATGCTTTGCTTAAGCCGGGCTCCCTTCCCTGCTAACCACCTCAACTACTTCAGAGGTGGAGATATTTATTTATTTATTTATTTATTTATTTATTTATTTATTTTGAGACAGAATCTTGGGGCCGGAGAGACAGCTCAGTAGAATAAGTGCTTGCCTGGTAAGTGCAAGGGCCTGAGTTCAATCCCTGGTTCCACCAAAAAAAAAGGGAGAGAGAGAGAGAGACAGACAGACAGACAGACAGAATCTCACTATGATGCCCAGTCTGGCTCCTAACTTCTGGGCTCAAGTGATTCTCCAGCCTCAGCCTTTGAAATAGTCAGGACTACAGGGTGCACAGAATCTTAAAAACTGCTTTGTTCCCTGAAAAAAAAAAAAAAAAAAAAGGTACATATATGTATGAACCAACTTCCCACAAGAAATACAAATATTATATACTACACAAATGTACTAAAAAACTAAAATTTTTAAATCGGCTTTGTTCCCAATACTGATGGTATCCAACACATGGAAAGTACCTGATGAATAACTATAAATAAATAAACAGAAGAAAGGGGAATAAGATTTTTTTTTTAATGGTACTGAGAATTGAACTCAGAACCTTGCACTTGCCAAGCAGGCACTGTGCCACTGAGCTATATCACTGGCCCAAATTGGAATAAGATTGCAGCTAATTCTGGATCCTCAGAGGTCACAATGAAACCCTCTAGTACCGATCAGACTGAAGATATGGAGGGTGGGAGAGTCCAAAAGCAAGGATCTGATGCTCATCAAAGACTTCTCTTTTGCTCCCAAGAACTCTGAGGGTCCCGCCAAGTACAGACTACCTCAAATATTAGTCTGAGGAAAGACTGGGCCTAACGTGCTCCTGCGCCACAAGGGGATGAGGAAACCCTACAATAAGAAAAGATCAGCAGGATTCTTGTAGGCCTGTAGGCAGATGATCCCTGCCATGGTTTCCTGTTATGCTGTAACAAATTATCACAAATTTACTGGCTTAAAACAAGACACATTTATTCTGTTACAGTTCTAGGGGTCAAAAGTCCAAAAGTGATTTCACTGGACCCAAACCAATGGGTCAACCAGCATGCTTTCCCCAGAAGTCCTAGAGAAAACCCTTTCCCTCCCCTTCCCCTATTAGGGCTGCATTCCTTGTATTCCTTGGCCTCTTCCTCTGCAACCAAAGCCAGCAGTGTAGCATCTGCCTGCCGAGGTCACACAGCCCTTTCGACTGTGTCAAATCTCTTTGTTGTCCCCCCTTAAGGACACACTTAGGCCCCACTGGATAATCCAGGATAATCTCCCCCTGGCAAGATTCTTAACTTAATCACTTCTGTGAAGTTTGCTTGCCACCACAGACAATATTCACAGGTCCCAAGGTTATGGCCTAGATGTCTCTGGGGGCCACTGTTCAGCTGACCACCAAGCAAGGAAAAGCCGAAGGTGTGGAAGAACAAGCTCAGACCCTTATTCAGGTCAAAGAAGCACTGGGGGCGCTGGTAAGATAGCTCAGCGGTCTAAAGTGCCTGCTTGGGCAAGCTCAGGCAAGCGCAGGGACCACAGTTTGATCCCGGGCACCACATGCTGCACCAGCCCCGCCCCCAGGGCAGGCTTAGCTGGCAACAACAAAAAAAGAAGCACGGTCAGGAGCCCTGGTAGAGCCCCCAGGCCTGCTCCCGTCTTTCCTCAGACCACTTGCTGTGTAAGTAGGCAGAGGGGAACTAATTTTATGGCACCGGGCTTCAGGCCCTTGGGGGCCCCTTGGGAGGGAAAGGCAGTTTTCTCCTCTACTCCAGGCGGCCAGCAGAGGGGCAAGGGGAGCCCATCAGTCTCTGCACTGCACGGTAGGCTTCCCGCACCGGGGACTGTCCAGAAATGGTCTGAGGCAGCATGCCAGGTGAGCTTTCTCTTGGGAGTGCTCCTGCGCCTGGTAGGTTCTGAGAGCCCATCTGGGCTCCGAGTGGGAAGCTGTTGCCATCAGAACCCCCGAACACCCACTTGGTCACTAGACACAGGACCGGGCTGGTCACAGGCATCCGCACTGCCAGTGGCACCCATTCCCCGCGGGGTGGCACATCCAGGAGGCACACTTGGGAACCTTCTGCCCAGACCTTATAAAACATGGAGAAGCTTGGCCTGAAACCCACAACTCCAGGGGCTGGCCCTGCGTCCCAGAGGTGTCCATTTGTGTGTGGCCATCCTTTCGCTTCCTGCTGAGCTCTAACACACCAATTGTGAGCTCCTCCACTGCTCCCCAAAGCCCTCCGGGGCCCAGTGAGGTGGCTGAGGGTGTAAGCTTCCAACCAAGAACTGTCTACTACTATGTGTTTGCTAGGAGACTCCGAAGGCCAGCAATACTTAGTGGGGAAATGATGGCGCAGTGGTCCTAACAAGAGAGGGTGCTTCCCTCTCCAAGGGACATTTGGCAACGTCTGAAACCTTGGTTTCACAACTGGGAAGAGGGGAATGTGACTGGCACTTACTGGGCAGAACTGAGGATGGTGCTATCCACCCACCAATGCCCAGGGCAGCCCCACGATAGAGAATTAGCTCTCCGGCACTGGCCTAAGAAACCACATTCCAGAGCAACAGTTACAACAGGCAATTGAGGAAAATAGAGAAGCACACCTTGCTCCCTGGTTTGGAAACAGAGATGACAGGTAGAGCCCTGGATCCCGGCACATGCAAGAACAGCATGTCGAGCAGGTTGTAGTAGTGCATGCCTGTAAGCCCAGCATGCAGGAGGCTGAGGCAGGAGGACTACCATGGGTTTGAGGTCAGCTTAGGCTACATAGTGAGTTCAAGGCCAGCCTGAATTATATAACAAAAAAACTAAAAACACAAACAAAATAACCCAGCTCATCTTCAAGGCAAAGTGGCCCAGGATGTGGGGTAACTCTGGCCCCACTGCCAGCTGGAGAGCAAGCTGGCTTATCCCCCAGCAGAGCTGGAGCCAAAAAACTGTCCCTCTGAGGTCACAACCCCGAGATGCAGGACTTGACAGGAGCAGCAGTGAAGATCAAGCGTTACAGCAGATCACAGCGCAAGCTGGGCTGTTTGACCACGGGACGTCTGAGCTCAATTATAGAGGAGGCCACTTCCCCAGGCAGCCAGGAGCCTCTCCCCTCAAGGTCTCCCTCATGGGAGAGCTCCTCAGGGCTGTGTCCCCATTCACCATGGTGAACGTGGTAACTGTCCCCAGAGAACTGCCGACATGTAACACAGGGCAGCAGTGAGGCACTGATATCCAGACTGAGGGGGACAGAAGGGGTGCTGCCCGGAACGCCCAGGGCTGGGACGCCGGTGACCGTGTCACAGTCCAGGCTGGGCTTTCATGATTCCCCTTCATCCCCCTCCCTTCTAGTCTCTACTTCGCCCTCCTGCTTCACTCCCTTCTCACACCTCTCCTAGGTTTTATTTTATTTTATTTTAAGAAATTTGGTCTTGCTATATGGCCCAGGGGTGGCCTCGAACTCATGGTAATCCTCCTGCCTCAGCCTCCTGAGTGCTGAGATTCCAAGTGTGTGCCACCTGCCCAGCTTCTGTTTTTTTTTAATGGTCAAAGATACTAAAACTGAAATGTATTTGAAACAAAATGGTGTTGAATAAAATTAGATATTTTCTGTTTTTTTAAATTTTTCAATAACTTACACTTAACTTTTTAGGTCTTTGCACAATTTTTAAAAATGTATTTGTTTTCAACATTTGTGAAGCTTTGAGGTAGGCTTTCCCGGGCACTGTCACCCTCCCTAGGGTGGAGGTGGGGACGCGCTGCTCGTCCTGTGCTCTGAGGACTTGATCTGCGTGCTGAGAGACCCAGATCAATGCACTTAACTGTACCCAGGGAGGCTGGACTCGACATGAGAGAACTTCCCTACAGTGAGAACACCACGGTGCTCTCCTACCAGCCTCCTGCCTCCTTTCTTTCGCCATTCAACCCGACTTTCTGCAGCACTAACACCATCACTTTGTGCTCCACAGCCGTCCCTGGCTCCACACTGCCCAAAGAGCATCGTGCAAATTCCTTCACTCTGCATTCCATGTCCTCTACTTGCTGCTAGGAACTTCTTAAGCCTTGCTTCCAGGAACAGAAGGTAGACGAGAAGCCGCACTTCCCTCCACAGGCCCGCCTGCCTCCCTGAAAGCTCGCGAACTAACAAGCAGAAGCTGGTTTCCAAGGAGGCCTCCATGGCCCCGTGAACCAAGCCCCTCTGCACTCACGCCTTCCTGTAGTCCGCTCTAATCGGAACTGGTCCAGTGGCCAAGACAGCAGAGGAAGCATGCCACTCTTCCTGGTATCTCTGGACGCTCGCTTCCTCCAGGCAGCTCCTGCCTGTGTCTCAGCTGTCATGCTGCAGGAAGCTAGGGTACAAGGAGGGCCTTGAGTGGGCAGCCAGCCAAGGCCACCTGGCCCACCTAGCCTCATCCTGACCCAGCAACTTCAAGGAGCCCTGCAAGCCAGGCGAGGCTCAGAAGCAAACACAATAAAGCACCGATTTCCTGTGAAGTGTCCTAGATACTCCAATAGAAACAGCTTCCCTACACCCTGGTGAACCCTTAGCCTATAATCCCAGGCATTCAGGAGGCTGAGGCAGGAGGATCACAAATTCAAGGCCAGCCTGGGCAGCTTAGCTAGACCCTTCCCCCCAAAAAAAAAGAAGTTAAAAAGGGCTGGGGATGTGGCTTTGTGCTAGAACACCCTCAAGTTCACCTTCTAATACCACAGAGAACAAATATGACCCACCTACTCAAAAGCCCAACCAGGAGAATTATAAATTTGATGCCTGCCTGGAAAACGCTGTCTGTCTGTCTCTCATAAGAAACATTTGTGTAAGTTTCCAACTTAAACACCTTTTTCATAAAACATATTTTTTTGCCTGAAAGAAAGATTAATGGGCAAACAGTGATTATTAGGACAGTTTTTGGTCCACTCCACACCTTTAACCTTTTCATTTTTGAGACATGAGCCAGGTGTGGAGGCACATACCTACGGCCCCAGCATTTGGGAGGCTGAGACAGGAGGATCAGCTTGAGTTCAAGGTCAGCCTGCACTACAAAGGGAGACCCTGTCTCCAAAAAACTAAAAATAGTCTGAAGTGCCCAGGCCAGATTGAAACCTTTTTGAAAAAACTGAAAGTTGAGTCGGGCATGGTGGCACATGCCTGGAATCCAAGCACTTAGGAGGCTGAGGCAGGAAGATCACTGCAAGTTCAAGACCAGCCTGGGCTACAAAGTGAGCTCAAGGTCAGCCTGAACCACATAACAAAACTCTGTTTCAAAAAGAAAAGATAAACTGAGGGTACTGAGCTACATTCCCAGTCCTTTTTTAACTTTTATTTTTTGTTTTAAGACAGGATCTGGGTAAACTGTGAAGCTACCCAGGCTGGGCTTGAATTTGTGATCCTCCTGCCTCAGCCTTATTCAGAGGCCAGAATACCACCATAACTAGCTAGGCTTTAAAAAATTTTTTGTATTAAAAAAAAATACAAAATAGGGGCTGGGGAGATGACTCAGTAGAATAAGCGCTTCCCTGGCAAGTGCAAGGGTCTGAGCTCAATCCCCAGTTCTGCAAAAAAAA